GTCATACTGCCTTCCATAGTGGTTGCACAATTTTACACTTCCACCAACAGTGAATAAGGGTTCCAGTTTCTCTACAACCTCTCCAGCATTTGTTGTTTGCTGTTCTGTTAAATTTTGCTATTCTAACTGGGGTGAGATGATATACTTGTTTTGACTTTCCTCTCTCTTAGAGCTAGGGATTTTGAACATTTCTTCATGTGCTTGTTCACCATCTGAACGTCTTCTTTGTGTCTGTTCATATCCTGTGCCCATTTTGCAATTGGGTTGTTTATCTTGTGGCAATTATTCACTCATTACTATTTAAGGCCTCAAGCCTGTTCCTGAGATGATAGGAGGTATAGACTCAAGGCCAAGCTTTTGTTCTTGTGGATTTTATTTTATTTTCTTTAGCTTCAGTTGCATACGAACAGTTGATGATCTGATCCACAAATGGCACCTGGTCTAGTTTTCACAGCTGATGTTGAGCTTCTTCATTGATTTTTCCCAGCCTATGTAATCAATCTGATTCCTGTGTAGGCCTCCAGGTGAGGTCCATGTGTATAGTTGCCATTTGTATTACAGTTACAGGATGTGAAATGTAAAAATGCAAATATTTTAAATAAACTTTATATTTGACTCTTTTACATTTTAAAGCTGTAAGATATATGTTTTTAGCCAAAATTACTTTATCATATACTATTAATGTCTTGGAAAAAGTGCAGCCAGATTGCTTCTTGGAGGTGAGAATTTCAAAGCTTTGTATTAAGTAAGGGTCATCATGCTAGGAAGGGTGGAAGGTGAGCAAATGAGAGGAAGACCCTCAGTGATATAGATTGACACAGTGACTGAAGCAATGGGATAACGTATGTCAGAGATAATGAGGATGGCACAGGATAGGACAGGGTTCAGAACTGTTATTCTTAGACTATGAATCACACTGGACTCCACAGCACCTAACGACAACATACTATTCATAAAGTAAGAGAACTCTGGAGGCATAGTGGTTAAGGAGTAGTGCTGCCAACCTGAAGGCATGTAGTTCAAATGTTCTAGTTGCTCTGGGGAAAAAAGATGAACAATATTTTCCCATGTAGTTTCCTGCCTCCAAAAACCAGTTGGAGGGTCAGTTATGAGTTGGTTCTGACTCGACCATATCATATTAATAAGTGATAAAGTGATCTAAGATCTCTCAAGTGGTTTGTGAGTTAGGAAAACTTGTCCTAACATACTTTATTACTTGAAAGAAATAACTGAATTTCCTGCAGTTCATAAGCAGAGGGCCTTTCACTGGTGTCCCCAGGCATCTGAGAGTCAGTCCTAATGGGACATTATTGTCACCAGACTTAGGCTGGGGCTAGAGGTACAGAAGTAAATAGGCCTAAGGCCCTGCTTATCTCAAGACAATATGGTGTGACAGTGTAGTGACAGAGGATACAGAGGATATGCAGGGGTTAAGGAGGTCTGAGGCTGTGATAGGGAAGTTATGAAGAAGGTGATCCAAAATCCATGAGTAAGAAAAAGGTGCAAAACAGGGTGTTTCAAACAGCATGCCTTGGACCGCAAGAGGGTTCAAGACAATGCTGCATGAAGAATAGAGGCTAGTTCATTGTGGCTTGTTGAGGACTGTGGGGTGCACTCTCCTGCACTGTCACTGGCCTTAACTGCTTGACACAGTGACTCCAAGGGTGGACTCAAGTGTGTCAGAGATGGTCAGGATGCACAGGATAGAACAGCAATCATATCTACTGTTTATAGTGTTGCTGTGAGTCACATTGGACTCAGCAAAACCCAACAACCACATCCCTGCAAACCATTACCAGTCACACATCACCCCTAGAGCCTGAACAGCTCAATATCACCCAGTTTGCCTCTTTTCCTGGTGAAGAACAGGTCTGCACTCACCACTGAGCACAAGGCTTACTGGGACTTGGAGTGTTCAGGATAATGTTGTTGTTGTTGTTATGTGCCATCGAGTCGTTTCCGACTCATAGTGACCCTATGCACAATAGCCCTAAACCCTCCTCTATCCTGCGCCAACCGCACTGCCTCTGACACACCCATCCCGATTACCCCAGTCACCGAATCAATCCATCTCATAGAGGGTCTTCCCCTCCT